GTCAGATAAGAAATAATAAAATAAAAACAAAATTTGGGGAATGTAATCAGGACATGATTTAAATGAGTAACATTGTTATGAAAAACCTGCTTCTAAAAGGACTGGTTGAGTGATTTGGAAAAAGAGGTAGCAGAAAATGACCAATTAAAATAGCAAAAAAATATTTTTAAAGGAATTTAAAAAATAAGAATAATTTAAAGAACCTTTGGGACAACATGAAGTGTAACAGTATTCACATCATGAAGGTATGAGAAGGAGAAGAAAGTAAAAATTGATAACCTATTTGAAAAATAATGATTGAAAACTTCCCTAACCTGGTGAAGGAAAAAGACAAAAGTCCAGGAAGTGCAGAGTCCCAAACATGATGGACCCAAAAAGGCTCACAATAAGATACATCATAACTAAAATGGCAAAAGTTAAATACAAGAATATAACCTTAAAAGTAGCAAAAGAAAGTTAGTTACCTACAAGGAAACTCCCATAAAACTGTCAGCTGATTTCTCAACAGAAACATTTAAGGCCAGAAGGCATTGGCACAAAATATTCAAAGAGATGAAAAGCAAGGACATATAACTAAGACTACATCACCCAGGAAGGTTATCATTTAATATTGAAGGAGAAATAGAGAGCTTCCCAGACAATAAAAAGCTAAAGGAGTTCATTACCACCAAACCAGTATTACAAGAAATGTTCAATGGTCTGATTTTAAAAATGAAAGAAAAAGAAGAGAAACAGTTATAAAGAATAAAATGACAGTAAATACATAGCTATCAATAATAAATTTAAATGTAAATAGCTTAAATGCTCTAATAAAAAGACATAGGGTAGCTCTGGTTGGCCGCTCCATGGTTAGAGCAGGGGTGGGCAAACTTATGACTCGAGGGCCACAATGGGTTCTTAAACTGGACCGGAGGGCCGGAACAAAAGCATGGATGGGGTGTTTGTGTCAACTAATATAAATTCAAAGTAAACATCATTACATAAAAGGGTACAGTCTTTTTTTTTTAGTTTTATTCATTTCAAACGGGCCGTAGTTTGCCCACAGCTGGGTTAGAGCACTGGCCTGCACACAGAAGGGTCATGGGTTTGATTCCTGGTCAATGGTGCATACTTGGGTTACAGGTTTCATCCCCACCCCCATCCCCATCCCAATCCCCAGTCGGGCTCATGTGGGAGGCAACCAATTGATGTGTTTCTCACATTGATGCTTTTTTCTCTCTTCCACTCTCTGAAAAAAAAAGTTAGTGGAAAAAATATCCTCATTCTTGGAGTGAGGATTAAGAAGAACGGCACAGGGTGGCTGAATGGATAAGAAAAGAAGACTAATATATATATACTTTCTACAAGAGACCCACCTCAGAACAAAAAACACACAGAGACTGAACATAAAGGGATAAAATAAGATATTTTGAGGAAGTGGAAATGGCAAAAAAAAAAAAAAAAAAAAAAAGCTGGGGTAACAATACTTATATCAGACAAAATAAACTTAAAAAAAACCATACTATAATAACAGGCAAAGAAGAACTCTACATAATGATAAAGGGACCAACCCAACAACAGGATATAACCATTGTAAACATTTATGGACCCAACATAGGAGCACCTAAATATAATAAGCAAATGTTGATGGACATACAGGGAGGGATTGACAGTAACACAGTCATAGTATGGAATTTTAACACCCTTGACATTAATCTTCCAGACAGGAAATCAACAAGGAAACAGTGGCCATAAATACCACACTAGATCAGATACATTAAATTGATATCTTCAGTGCATTTCACCCCAAAGCAGCAGAACACATATATTCTTTTCAAGTACACGTGGAACATTTTCTAGGAGGAATCTCTGTTAGAACACAAAACAAGTCCCAATAAATTTAAGAAGATTGAAATCGTATCAAGCATATTCTCCTACCCAGATATGAAATTACACCTACATGGTCAACTAATATTTGACAAATAAAACAAACATATAAAATGGGGTAACAACAAACTATTTAGTAAATGGTGTTGGGTAAATTGACACGTTAAGTGTGTGTGTGGGGAAACTGGACTACCTTCTTACATTATACACAAGTATGAACTCAAATGATTTAAAGACATAGATGTTAGACTCAAAACCATAAAAATCCTAGAAGAAAACATAAGCAGTAAAATCTCTCTTAGTAATATTCTTTTGGATACATCTCCTTGGGGAAGGGAAACAACAACAAAAAAAAGATAAACAAATGAGAAGACGTGGTGGTGGTGGTTGGGGTGGGCATGCAGGCCCAGTAGTTAGGGCGTGAGATGTGGACAGGGCAAAACAAGAGTCTGCTACAAGGATCCTTAAAGGGGACACAAAAGCAACTGAGAAGGAGCAGCCAGAGGAGAGGCGGGAGGAAATCAGAAGAGGCACGGAGCCAGGGGGCCTGTTTGTGTGGACAATCACAAGGCGATACATTTTAAGCACATGTGCATCCCACTTCCATTGTGTCTGTACTTTATACCGACAGCCGGCCAGGGGCAACTCCACAAAGCCCAACCCCGGTCTCTGTTGAGCCACTCACACCCGGTCCAGGGTCCATTTGGGGGCGCCCAAGCCAGGGCGGGGGTGTGGGTCGGGGTGTGTGTGCTGGAGCGGGGCTGGGGAAGTGGAGCTCACATTTGTGGTTGGCCGCAAAGGGGGCCTGGGAACCTTCCCCGGAAAATAAGGAGCGGAGAAACGATACTGATTAGTTGCATCCCGGATAATCCTGGGCTAGAGGCTGCAGAGGGCTCTGATTTGTCTGTGCCTGCCCGCTAACCTACTGAGTTGTTCCCCCAAACTCTGGGGTGTCTCCCCCCCCTCGCCCCCCCACATAGACTGGCACCTGCCGGGGCGCCCTGGGCGCGCAGACTCCAGGCCGGCCCAGAGGCTCTCTCCGGCCAAGCCCCCTAAAGAAACTAGAAGTGTTTCCCCTGCTTCGGAGGGCTCTGCGCGAAGCCCTTAGCGGACTGAGCTCTTTTCAGGGGTTGGGGCTCTGAGCGGGTCCAACGGAGCGCGCGGTCTCCGTGTGCGCTGGAGAGGACCGTGGATCTCCCGCAGCAGCTGGGCCGGGAGCCGGGGCGCGGATTAGCAGGGCGGGGGTGGCGGTGGCGGTAGGGAAAGCATTTCTCACTGGGGAGGGAGCAGTGAAAGTGCTGCGAAAAGGAAGGGGTGCCAGGGTTCAGCTCTCCCCCCAATCCCACTCCCTTGTCCCGCGGGTCCCTCCCCGCAGGCGGGGCCGGTGGAGGCGTCAGGGACGCTTCTATCCTGGAATTGCCAGGTCCCGCAGGCCTCCAACCCCGGCTCCTTATGAGGCCTCTTGCTTCTCTTCCCGGGTTTCTGTGTCCGCGTCCAGGGTGAGCGGATTGACAAGCCTCAGTTCCTCTCATTTGGAAATGCGTTTTGTAGGATCCTCCCGAGTGCTCCTGGCGCCGTGCACTGCCGCCGTGCGGGGTGGGCGAAGGTGGGGTCTTCCGGTGCCCTCCCGCGTCCCGGGGCAGAGGCTGGGGAGGGAGACCCCGGGACCCCGGCCCAAAGCCGAAAACGACGCCGGCGTCTAACGCCGCCCCTCCCCGCCCCGCCCCGGAGCAATTCAAAGGGCAATTATCCCAAAGGAAAGTTATTGTGTTGCTAATCTCGGGAACAGCTTGCGAGGGGAGATCTGGGTCTTCCTTTAATACTTGCGAGCTAATGCTCAGCCTTTTGTAATTATCTTTATCGGAGGCCCCGCATTTCCTCTGCGTGTTCAGCGGACGCCCCGCTCGAAGGCGCGGCGACAGGGAGACGCACTTCGCTGGGCTCCGGCTCGGTCGTGAGCGCAGGGAGCCGCTCGGCGTCGGGCCAGGCTCGGCGTCCGGCCAGTGACTCCCGACTGCTCGGACCTCGGGGTGGGACTGAGGAGAGTCGCTTCCCGGGTTCTGGGGTTGAGAAGGGCGGGCTCGGGGCTCCCAGCTGTTCGGGTTGGGTAGGCTCGAATTTCCGGCGTGTCGGCCAGGACTGGCTTCCTCACGTGCTGTGCTTGGCGCCAACTTTAACCACTACGGCGTTTCACGTGAAAACCAGGCTTTCTTGGACTAATCACAAGCTGACAATCACTTGTTAGCCTCCGAGAAAAGCTCTCTGTCCCTATGGACAGTCCCTGTTTTCCAATGTACTCCCCACGGCCCCCATGTAGGGTTGCAGGAATGCTGGCACATACTCATACTGAAAAAAGTATCCATTGTTTACCTGCAATGTCAGGTGCACGGGCCTCCAGTAATGCACTTCGCTAAACCTGCCGCCTGGTCCTGTCGCGGGAGCGGGCCACCCCACTCCTGCCGGTCTCTAATTTCTCACCCCCCCCCCCCCCCCCCCCCCCGCCCCAGTAGCTTTGCGACCCCCTGGAGCACAAGGGGGTGGATTTGCCTGGAGGCAGAGTGGGCAGGGACTCAATGAACTTTTTCCACCTCCCCGCTGGCGATTTTCGGAGGAGGCCTGCTTGGTGCCGGCGGTGCGGTGGGAGCGCTGGCGGGGGTCGTCTCCGCCACATCAGGGGGCGTGTGGCTGTGAACCGAGCCCGAGGTCTCAGGGTGCTGCTGGCTGGTGGAGGCGGGGCTTCGGGGGCAACTGCGACCCGAACCTCCACCCAGAGAATCTGGAAGGAAAGTGAATTCCATGCCGCACTGAAACCTGCGGCTTTTAGAGGGACCGGCAGATAGCGGGGTCCCTGTCTCCTCCCACCGAAAACGGGTGTCGTGGCGGGGCAGGGGGGCAGCTGGGAGGAGATGGGAAGAGAGGGGACTGCAGCTGCGAGGGCGGCTACCGGAGGGAGGGGAGCTGGTGGCGTCCCAGCTCACGGGGTCCCAGGCGATGACGCGCCCGCGCCCGGCTGATTGGAGCCCTCCTGGCCCTCCGCGCCCGACGGGAGCCCCAGCTATATAAAGCGTCTCCTTAGCCGAGCCCCTTTCGCGATGGTGACCCACCGAGGGTCAAGCCTCCCCGACTGAGAACCCATGACGGGCCGAGACGCGCTCTGCGAAGGGCGCGCGAGGGGCACGGCGCTGGCGCCCGGTGCCGCCCCCACCGGCCCGCGCCCCCGCGGCTTCGCCATCACCGACCTGCTGGGCCTGGAGGCTGAGCTGCCGTCTCCGGCCGGACTCGGCCCGGGGTCTGGCTGCGAGGCCCCAGCGGCCGCGCCCCGTCCCAATCCCGGGCTCGGCAGCCCCCGCCTCGCGCTCGGGACCCTTCCGCTGGGTCTCGGCCTCCTCTGCGGCTTCGGTGCACAGCCCCCCGCGGCCGCCAGGGCGCCCTGCCTGCTCCTCGCCGACGTGCCCCTTCTGCCTCGCCGGGAGCCCGAGCCTGCGCCCCCACCAGCCCTCCGCCGCCCGCCGTCCCCGCTTGGCCGCCAGCAGCGCAGCGAAAGCGTCTCCACGTCGGGTAACTAGGCCATCCCATCCCATCCTGACCCTGTTCCTTCGGGGTTGGGCCGCGCAGGAGTAACGCAACGTCAGCCCACCCCCAGATCCTAGATCCAAGGGAGGTCGGGACCCCAGATCCCCGCGGGGTCCAGGGGAGGCGCATCCCCGCACCCGCACCCCCTCTTGCCTCTTCCTAAGTCCCTGCCTATCCTCGGATTCTGGTGAATACCACTCCCCCCCCCAACCCCCCGCCCACTACCGGGTTTCGGACCGATCCTGGGGGTCTGGAGTGCCCAGCACTGGTCTGGCTCTGCTGAGGGCCTTTCCCCTCCGCCCCGCGCGCATTTCGAACCTGGGAACCGCGTAGGTCGGGAAGGCTTGAGCCTGTTTTACCACCAGCAACACAGAGCCCAGTAACCCGTGGGCGCTCACGCCTTTGCAAAATTGATTGAATGATTGACGGGTCCGTGAAGAGCGCCTGGCGCCTGGAGCCTCGCTTCTCTCCTGGCGCCGCCCCTCCTCCTCACTACCCTTGAGAAAGGAAGCAGCCTTGTCAATCTCATTGTAGTTAGGCTTAGCATTTTGTTCTGAGCCCAGCGATTTCCTCAAAGACATCCACGGGGATTATAGGGAAAGAGAAGGAAGCAATATCATTCTTTAAAGGACAAGGGCCTAGAAACAGACATTTAGGGAAACGTTTAGGGTGTTAGGGAAAATTACACAAGAAAAGGTGGACTCAGAGAACTATGCAGTAGAATCTAGAGCTGAGCATCCAGGCAGCCAAGGCAAAAAGGATACACTGGGTCTCCACTGATAAAAGGAAGGCAGTAGGCAAGTGAGCTTTTGCTCAACTCCAAAAGGACTTTATTTCATGAGTCTATAAAATAAAATGAACCCTCAATTAGCGCCCCTCCCCTCCTAAAAATGCAGAAACCACCTACATAGGATGGGATCTTTCTCTGTGGGCACTGTTAAAATGAAAAGCAAAATGCAACTAAATCTTAGTCTGTGAGGGAATTTCTGGAAGATCAAGAGCAATGCTACCCAATAGAAATATGTGTCTGAGAGCGTGAAGAAAATGTCTCTTTTTAAAAAGATTTTTTATTGATATTTTAGAGAGAGAGGAAGGGAGAGGGAAACATCCATGTAGAGCAAAACATCAATTGGCTGCCTCCTGCATGCCCCCTACTGGGCCGGGAGGGTCCAGCCTGAGTCCACAGCCCAGGTATGTGCCCTGATTGGGAATCAAACCAGCAACTGTTCAGTGCACGTACAACACCTAACCAACTGAGCCACACATTAAAAAGGAAAAATAAACAGGTGAAATTAATTTAAATACTATATTATATTTAATCCAATACATATAGAATAACATTTACATATAATGAATCTAAAAATCATTAATATTTTACTTTTGGGGTAGTAAGTCTTCTAAATCAACAGAATATGTTACATTTACAGCAGATCTCAGTTTGGGCCAGCCACATTTCATATGTTCAATGATGTGAGTCTAAGGGAACCTGATTGGACAGCATGGGCATTATAATCTAAGCATATAGTTTTCTGGTGAGCTAATTGATGTTGGAGTAAAACTAATATAATTTTTCCTTTAATCTATTTTTCATACTTTGAGGCAAAAGTGCCTTTTAACAATGAATCTGACAATAGTTTGATATTCTGACCTTCCTTTTTTTCCGGATCTTTTAATATAAAGGCTATCAAAAGATAAAGCATAGTAGAGTTCTTAATATTTTTTCCAGTGCACCTAAGAATCATCTAGGCATATTTGTCAAGAATGAGTTTCTGGACCGCACATCCAGAGATTCAGAACTGATACAGCAGGGCAAGGAGTGCAGTTTTTAAAATATAAAATAAAATATAAAATTTTAAAATATAAACATGTTTATTGATTTCAGAGAGGAAGGAAGAGGGAGAGAGATATAGAAACATCAATGATGAGAGAGAAGCATTGATTGGCTGCCTCCTGCACTCCCCTTACTGGGGATGAAGCCTGCAACCCACGCATGTGCCCTTGACTAGAATCGAACCTGAAACCCTTCAGTCTGCAGGCCCACGCTCTATCCACTGAGCCAAACCTGCTGGGGCAGGAGTGCAGTTTTGACAAGACTTCTGATGTCACAAACTTCAGCCCCCCTTTGAGAAATGTTGGTGTGCTGATTAAGATAAGGAAGTTGGAAGCAGAAGGAAATGGATGAATTTGAGAGCTGAGTGGGGATAGAAAATTCGATTAGCTTTGGCTTCACACAGTCTGGGGTTTGAACCCCAACGTCACTATTTAGTGCCTGTGTGATCATGGACAGATGACGCAATCTCTCTGTGCCTCCGTATCCTCATCTGTAGGAATAGGATACTAATAGCAGCTACCTCGGAGTTCTCTAATTTTATGAAGAAGAATTGCGATAATGCATGACCAATGCTGAGCACAGAACCTGGAAGGCAGTGGTGCTAAAAATGCTAGCTTGCATTAAGCTAAATATTACCCACATTTTTCAACAAGTTCATAGGTTCAATCCTTGTATTAAAGTCCAGAAAATAAAGTGAAGAATATGCTCACCTTTAAAGTCCTCTCTTTCTCGTTATGCCAACAGATGAGGAAAGCCTACCTGGAAACAGGAGTGACCTGAAGGTGTCCCCAAACCCTGGCAAGAGGAAGAAGAGGCGGCACAGGTACGGTGCCAGGCCATCCTCTCTGACCCTTTCCCCGGGACACACAGCATCTGAGAGTGGGTGGTCCTGCATTACAGGAGGCCCAGTGGGCTCCAGGTTGGCGGTGGGAAGGGTACAGTAACCATTTAGGAACATAATTTTGCAAATCCCAGGAGGCTGCAGGACAATCTTTGCAGCATTTAAAAGACACAATTTTGTGGGTCTTTAAAATGGGTCTTCTTAGAATGAGTTGATGAATACATTGAGGAGGGGAAAAAATGCTGAAGAACTCTTTCTTATTTGAACCAAACTTTGCAAAGGTTAATCATTCAGAAGTGGGGGATTCAGTTATTATGAGGTGGCCTTTTGGGGTATGGAAGATGGGAGAGGTAGGCACAGGGTCCCTGCGCTGGGAAGCCTGGCATCCTCCTTTGGCCATGTGCCCACATGTCCTCCGGGCCTCCCTGCAGGACTGTCTTCACCACCCAGCAGCTGGAAGAGCTGGAAAAGGCGTTCAGCGAGGCACACTACCCTGACATGTATGCCCGGGAAATGCTGGCCATGAAGACTGAGCTCCCTGAAGACCGAATACAGGTGTCTGGGGTTCCTTTCTCCTTCCCAAAGACACCGTAGAGAGCATGTTAACCTCACAGACAGTGTGACCTACAGCCACCTCCAAACAGCCAAACACACATTCCCTCACACAGGCAAACTGAGGGCCACTCAGCCGCAAGCACCATAGTGCTAGAGCAGGGGTGGGCAAACTTTTTGACTCGAGGGCCACAATGGGTTCTTAAACTGGACCGGAGGGCCGGAACAAAAGCATGGATGGAGTGTTTGTGTGAACTAATATAAACTCAAAGTAAACATCATTACATAAAAGGGTACGGTCTTTTTTTTTTTTTTTTTTTTAGTTTTATTCATTTCAAACAGGCCAAATCCGGCCCACGGGCCGTAGTTTGCCCACGGCTGTGCTAGAGCCTTCCTTGTGTTTATGTAAGAGGAGATCCCTCGTAACCTACACGCCTTTTTTCCTTTTATTAAGTCACTAGAGGCCCGTTGCACGAAGATTCACGCAATAGGCCTTCCTTCCCTGGCTGCCGGCACCGGTTTTCCTCCGGTTCCTGGGACCCAGGCCTTCGGTCCAGCCGCAGCCCCTTTCTTCAGTCTTCAGTCATCTTCAGTCTTCGCTCCTCGCCTGCATATGCAAATTAACCACCATCTTTGTTGGTGGTTAATTTGCATACTCATCCTGATTGATTGGTGGGCGTAGCAGAATGACACCAATTTGCCTGTTTCTCTTTTATTAGTGTAGATTCTTTAAAATCACAATGCTGTGTGCTGCAATTTAGAAACGATATAAAGACATATCAATAAGAGGAAGTGACCATCCATCCCAATAAAACCTCAAAGAAACCAATACAAGTAGCCTGACATGGCCTTTCTGCACATTGCCTCCATGGCATATATATCTGGCCCTGAACAATGTATACACTCACATACAGGTAGAATTTTGTCTTGTTTTTACAAAAAGGTATCATATTATACAACTCTGCCTCTTTGCTTGACAACATGTCTTAGACATTTGTTCAGGTCAGAAGATATGCCACAAACTACTCTTTTTAACAGCTAAATAATATTTCATCCTATTCCTTTATTAGGCTAACAGTTTTCTATGAGAAATATCACCAGCAACCCAACCACCTGAGATTAGAATGGGCCATTGACTGAGTGACCTCTTTCCAAACCGTGAGAAAAACTAGAAAACGTTATAGTTGACTCCTTCGCGCTATGTGGGGAAGAATACTTTAATTTTGTTTTTGTCAACTCTATGGGAAACTTCAGTGGAAAGTGGTCACACATTACCCCGCAATGAGTCCCTGTGAGTTTTGAGTGAACAGTGGGCACAGTTACTGAAAGGTCTTGGGTCTTATGAGCTCCCCAAGTTGGCCCATTTAAGAACTCCCCGCTCAGAGACACCTCCAAGCACCCTAGTCACAGCGTGTCCTGCCTCATACCAGGTCTGGTTTCAAAATCGGAGGGCAAAGTGGCGGAAGCAGGAGAAGCGCTGGGGCGGCAGCAGCGTGATGGCTGAGTATGGGCTCTACGGGGCCATGGTGCGACACTGCATCCCTTTGCCGGACTCTGTCCTCAACTCCGCCGAGGACAGCCTGGCCGGTTTCTGTGCGCCCTGGCTCCTAGGTAAGGAAGAGGCCGAGAGAGAGAAAATTCAGTGGGAAAGGAAGCTCACCCCTCTGTGCTTATAGGACCAGGGGTTGAGTGGGTGGGTGGGGGGGTGCCTACTGGCATCTGCTGCTCCACGGCCATACAAGAAACTGGGCCCAGTGCTGCCAGATCCTCTGACTTTTTGAGAGAAGCTGGAAGTCTGGCTTTTGATGTATAATTTCCTGATTTTAAAATGTTGTGAACAATTTTCAAAATAAAATTTTAAAAGTCCCTATGTCATGTAAGCGAGGCAACTTTGCTGGCTGCACCTGGCTGGCACACTCCAGCTTTCAACCCCTCCCAGTGGCAGTTACCTACGTGACTCTCCTGAGGAGCCAGAGAGAGGTACTGACAAGGGCAATTCTAACGGGACTTAGAGAAAAAGAACATAGAAGAAATTAATTGCTGACTTTAAAGAATCTGTTTTATTCCCCCTTTTCCTTTTTTTTTTTTTTTTTTTTTTGCAAGGGATGCATAAAAAATCCACAGGGGCAAGGAAACCAGGAAATGAAGAAAAGCTGGCTGGATTCTGGGGCCCTGACCACCTCAAGGAAGGTTCTAGTCCAAGTCAGGCAAGATCCCGGAGTGTCGCCAATGCAGCCAGCCCTGAGAGTAACTTGGAAGATGTTGCCATTGATCTCTCCAGCTCCACATGGCAGGAAACCAAGACGGTGCACCAGGGGGCCAGTGCTCAAGATTCGGAGGGGCTCCAGCCTAGGAAGGTGGGAGCCTTCTGAGGCCCACAGGTCCCACCCTCAGAGGTTGGACATTCTTCACTTTGGCTTTTTCAAAAAACAGAAGTTGTCCAGGACAAATCATCTCAGTTGGGTTTCCTGCTAGTGTCAGGATAAAATTCAATGCCAGATGAATGGGTGACTTGGGAAAAACTCTGTTTTGCTCTAGAGTGGAAATACTCCTTAAAGGCACTTGAACCAGTTAATGTGGTGTAAACATTTTATTGTCTTCTGTAGAACTTGAGGAGGGAAGATTTTCGTTCAAACATCATTTTCACTGCTGGGCATCATTTGAGATTTGGTTCAATTAATGGGTTAGGTCTGATGTCCTCACTCTGAACTCGAAAATATAAAATTACTTAACCTCCAGAGAATCAGATGTCTTCATAGATAGTGAAGACCCCATGCGGACATATGAATGAGTTGTATTACCTTTATCTTGAACTTGACTTCAGACAGTTCTATTTTCTCACCAGGCAATAATTTTGCATTCTCCTGAGTTTCATTTGATATGCTATGTGTGTTGGAGTTCGTAAAAAAACACACAAAACAAAGCATGCGTTCCCCTTTCTTTTTGAAATAACATGGACCATATCTAAACAATTGTTGATTATTTATAAACAGTGTTTTAAGATCACACCAGGTTCCTTGGTCTTTTAAAATTTATGTTGGAAAGCACTTTAGTGACTTCGATTTCATGAATATTTCCTTTCCTGTATTCCCTTTGCCACTTATTTATTATATAAAAATAAACATTGTGTAGTATGCTTGCCTGTCAAGGTGCTCCTTGTATTACACACTTGCATGTCTCCATATTATTGCTGATCCCCTGACAAGCCATCCCTCCCATTCCCTTTTAATCTGGGAACCTCTAAAGTAGTGGTTCGCAACCTTCTGGCCCTTTAAATGCAGTTCCTCATGTTGTGACCCAACCATAAAATTATTTTCGTTGCTACTTCATAACTGTGATGTTGCTACTGTTATGAATCGTTATGTAAATATCTGATATGCAGGATGGTCTTAGGCGACCCCTCGTTCGACCGCCAAAGGGGTCGGGACCCACAGGTTGAGAACCGCTGCTCGAAAGCATTTCATTCTTCAGGCTGCAGCACTCATCATGTGTTGATTTGTAAACTCCTGGGGCAGTGACTGTGTCTAATTCACCAGTTAGAGTCAAATCCAGAGAGAGCTGATGGGGAAATGCAGAGCTTCGCAAAGAAGGCAGAGCCCGAAAGCAACCTGCAAGCACTGCTTGCAAGGGTTTCCTCTGGAAATCGGTGCAGTCATTTGTCAGGTGGGGCCTGGTTCTCCCATCTCTCCAGGTGAGAAAACAAGGACTCCCTTCCGTTGGCCTACGTCCATACTATTGTGAAAACGAAATGTCACCTGTCCTTACTGTAAAACAGAAAATGAGATTATGCAGTATTTGTCTTTCTGTCTGACTCACTTCATTAGCATAAGGCCCTCAAAGTCCATCCATATTGTTGCAAATGACAAGATTTCCTTTTTTTCTCATGGCTGAATAACATTCAGTTGTGTGTGGATCTAGTTCTTTGTTCTCACTGAGTGGTATATAGCTGATTAACCCTAGAGCAGTGGTTCTCAACCTTCCTAATGCCGCAACCCTTTAATACAGTTCCTCATATTGTGGTGACCCCCAACCACAAAATTATTTTCCTTGCTACTTCATAACTGTAATTTTGCTACTGTTATGAATCATAATGTAAATATCTGATATGCAGGATGTATTTTCATTGTTACAAATTGAACATAATTAAAGCATAGTGATTAATCACAAAAACAATATGTAATTATATATGTGTTTTCCGGTGGTCTTAGGCGACCCCTGTGAAAGGGTCGTTCGACCCCTAAAGGGGTTGAGACCCACAGGTTGAGAACCGCCGCCCTAGAGGAATGTATCCAGGAAGCTATATCTTGTAGTTTAGGAGAATGAATTGTGAATAACACCAAATGAGGATTTGTCCATATTGGGTTTGGTTGGTCTTGCAGGGACCCTGATTTCCAGATTTTAAAGTATACCCAGTTCCCTGGATCATATGGGTGTAGCTTAGTATTATGGTATGAGTAAAATCAAATTAGCATATTTATTTGTATTGTTACCTTTCCTAGTTGAATAATATGTTTAACAGCCTGTGTTATAAATGGGTCCACATATCCTAAAATTTGAGAGGAACCCAAAAAGGGCCTATAATACATAATTTCAAAATGATTTACTTTAATCATTCCTTTGGGCACTGCCCTGATCTGGGTCAGGGCAATTGGTGGTTATTTAAGCCAGGTCTCATGGGTTTCCTGGCAGGGTTTGGCCAAGGTCTTTTTGAGTGTTTTATTACATCACTAGAGGCCTGATGCATGAAAATTCGTGCAAGAGGAGGCATTCCTTCCCCCGGCTGCCAGCACCGGCTTCCCTCTGGCACCTGGGACCCGGGCTTCCCTCCTCCGGCTGCAGGCAGGCACCCGGGACCCCAGCTGGCTTCCCCCAGGCCACCCACAAGCACCTGGGACCCAGACTGGCTCCCTTCAGCCCCGGCTTCGTCAGGAAGGACATCTGGAATAACGTCAGGAAGACGTCTGGTCTAATTAGCATACTACCCTTTTATTATTATAGAATATTCCATTTTTCCTGAGGACTGTGGGCTCCATGAAGCATATAAGACTCACTTCATTTGGAGAGCTTGTGCTACTCCCTTTCTTAGGGCCAGTGTGAAAGCTGGATCATTGTCACTTTGAAAGGCCCTGGGGGAGTCCAAACCTAGGTATTATTTCCTTAAGCAGTGACTTTACAACATTTTGCTCCTTCCAGTTCAGCATTTGAATGCTAGAACCTATCCAGTACAGGTATTTACTAACACCAATAAGTATTTATTTATTTATTTTTAATTTTTTAATAATTTTTATTTCTTAAAGTATTACAAAGAGTATTACATATGTCTCCTTTTTTTCCCCCCCTTGACATTCCCCCAGCCCCCCCCCCCCCGGTGTCTTGTGTCCATTGGTTAATCTTATATGCATGAATATAAGTCCTTTGGTTGATCTCTTAATTCCCCCCCAAACCCTCCCCAGGCTTCCCACTTTAGTTTGACAGTCTGTTCAATGTTGCTCTGCCTCTGCATCTACCCCTGTTCATCAGTCTATATTGGTCCCCATTATCTGTCCCAACCTCACTGGAGCAGTCCCAACTGCACCGGGGCCGTCTCAGCCTCACCGGGGCCGTCTCGACCTCACCGGGGCTGTTTCAACCTGACCGGGGCTGTGTCAATTTAACCGGCCATCCCGACCTTACCGGGGCCGTTTCAATCTCACCTGGGCCGTTTCAATCTCACCGGGGCCGTTTCAACCTAACCGGGGCCGTCCTGACCTCACCAGGGCCGTTTCAACCTCACCAGGGTCGTCCCTACCTCACCGGGGCCGTTTCAACCTCACCAATAAGTATTTAAATCCTTTTCCTGGACATTCTGCAAAGTCTACCTGTCTATCTTCTCTAGGCGACATTCCTTGGGACTGGACTGCCTGACTTAAAGGTGATAACGGAGGTCTGGTACATGCATTGTTCTTGGCGCAGCTAGCTATGACACCATTAATGACTGTTCTCATGCTTGGGGCCACTGTTACCCAAACCATGTATACAGTGCTTCCTTTCCATAATGTGTGAAATCATGGGCTTCTTTTATTATTTTCCAAGCTCGTCCTTGAGGAACAAAACCTTACTATGCTCATTTATCCACCCTTTACATGTAGGAGTCTCCTTAAACCCCTTTCAACACAGTTATGACCTGAGGCTTCAAAGGAGGTTGGCAATGAAGTAACAAGATAGAAGGTGTGACAAATTTTTATTTTTGTTAATTATCACCCAAGGATATTTTTCTATTGATTTTAGATAGAGTGGGAGGGAGGAAGGGAGGAAGAGTGGAAGGGGAGGGAGAGAGAGAAACATTAATGTGAGAGAGACACATTGATTGGCTGCCTTGACCAGGGCCTGCAATCAAACCTGCAACCCAGGTACATGCCCTTGACTGGGAATCAAACCCGTGACTCTTTGGTGCATAGGCCAATGCTCTAACCACTTAGCAACACCAGGCAGGGCAGTGTGACTTTTTAAAAAAATTCTTTATTGTCTAAAGTACTATGTATATTATTAACATGTCTCCTTTCCCCCCCATTGGCCTCTCCCCAGCTACCCCCACCTCCAGCACATGCCCTCACCTCCCTAATGTCTGTGTCCATTGGTTATGTTTATATGCATGCATACAAGTCCTTTAGTTGATCTTAACCCCTCCCGCTCCCCTGACTGCTCTCTGAAGTTTGATAGTCTGTTCGATGCTTCTCTGTCTCTGGATCTATTTTTGTTCATCAGTTTATGTTGTTCATTATATTCTACAAATGAGTGAGATCATGGGATATTTATCTTTCTCTGACTGGCTTATTTCCCTTAGCATAATGTTCTCCATGCCCATCCATGCTGTTGCATTTTAGAAAAATGTCTATTTAAGTCCTTTGCACATTTTTTTTTATTAAATCTTTATTGTTCAGATTATTACATTTGTTCCTCTTTTTCCCCCCATAACTCCCCTCCTTCCAGTTCCCACTCCACCCTCCGTCCTCATCCATAGGTGCATGATTTTTGTCCAGTCTCTTCCCGCATCTCCCACACCCCTTTCCCCCCCAAGAATAGTCAGTCCATTCCCTTTCTATGTCCCTGATTCTATTATAATCACCAGTTCATTCTGTTCATCAGATTATTTATTCACTCTATTCTTTTTTTTTTTTTTTGACAATTTGTCTACTTGTTTATTCTGTTCTTAAAAAAAAAAAAAAAAAAAAAAAAAAAAAAAAAGAGGTCAGGGATTGAGGGGGAAATAACCCATAAACACTGTGAACAGGAATCAAGACTCCAAGACTTGGGCATACTCCCCCTACCCTCAACCTCAGTTCCCGAGAGTCCCACCCACCCAATTTTCTTTTGAATAAGACACCCAAATCAGCAGCAAAGGAGCCTGGGGGAGTCACTGAGATTTTTGAACACTGGGAATGGGAAGGGGAAACGTCTAAAAAATAGGAGTTTGGAAGAAAAGGGAAGGAATGAGGGAGAGGCTAGGCTCTGGAGGACAGAGTTGGGCCATGAGAGATGGAAGTGAGCCAGTATGGGGGGGGCGGTACCCCTCCTGGCTGCTGCTGCCATGTTCCCCAGGACCCCAGAAAGCCCCATGGTTTGTTTTAGTCCATTCCCAATTCCCCAAAGGCCTCACAGGCCGAGCTCCAAGTCCTCGAGCTCCTCCTCCAGCACCCTCCTCCTTGCTAGCTTTTCCAGCTGCTCTTTGCTGGGCTGGCTGACTTCTCCAGCCTGGATCCGTTGCTGCAACTCTTCCACCTGCCGAAGCTTCTTCTTTAGGTTCTTTATCTTCTTGGCCTTCTCAGTGATAGCAGCCGGGTCAGGCTGGTCAGAGGCAGCTGTAGGAGCTGCTCGGGAGCCCTGTGGAGCACTGGGGAGTTGAGCTGTCTCTCCCAGTGACACCTTTTCCAGAGTCCGGCTCAAGGCCTCTGCCTCCCCTTTCTCTTGCTGCTGCCGCCTCTTCTCCTTCCGCTTCATGTTGCGTTTGGCTGTCTTGGAGAGGCCTGGTTCCCCACCTTCAGACCTTGATGGGTTGACAGGAGCAATGGCCTCGAGGCTCAACCCTGGGGGCAGTTCTGGTTTGCTCTTGAAAAACTTCACATACTTGTTCTCATACACGGGGACCTCCTCCTGGGGCACATAGCCTTCTTTCACCCTCCGCTGCTTGCGCCAGGTCCCGTCGGGTCGCTGTGTTGAGGCAATGTACTTGCCTTCCATTGTTGGGGTCCAGCCCCAGCAGGTCCAGGGGTTCCCAAAGGTGTGGACGGAGTCAGCGAAGAAGGAATGACACGGAGACAGCGTTCAGTTGATCAGCAGCCTAGCCAGGTTCTCTAGTCAGGGTCTCCAGCCAGGTTCTGTTCTTTATTCTCCTATTACATCTGTATTTATACCAGTCGATTTTAATCTGATCCATTCTATTCCAAAGGTTAGGGCGTTTGTTATCTCCATTCCAAGGTCACTACTCTATTGTTCTGTTAAACTACAAGGAAGTAACTGAAGGAGATTATCCTAAGTAAAGATTATGTAGCTTAAGTGTGATTGTTCGTAGTTAAAGTGATTAATTACCTGCCTGGCACTTAGTTAAGGGGTTTTATTCCCTTCCTTAATCCTGTTAGTCCTGTTAATTCCTAACTCCAGGGAAAAATCCTCACCTGGGGAAACAACCTTTCTCTGGGAGGTGGCCCTGTTTAAAACACATGGCGCTAAGAGGGGGAGCAAACATATGCCATATACGCCAGGTCCCTTGAAACATAAGCTGTGCAGATGTTTCTTCCCTGCAGCGACTGTGTCAAGCAGCAAGGGTGGACTGGCTTCCGGTACTCCATGAGTATTAGTGTGACAGTGGTAGATCAATGATCGCCGGTCTCATCAGTTACATGGGGAGTCGCCATCTTGAGAGCACAAACATCACTTGATTCTTAGATTCACTTGTCGATAGATGCATATTTGTTGTTCATAATTTGTATCTTTACCTTTTTCTTCTTCTTCCTCTTCTTAAAGGATACCTTTCAGCATTTCATATAATACTGGTTTGGTGGTGATGAACTTCCTTATCTGTGAAGCTCTTTATCTGACCTTCTATTCTGAATGATAGCTTTGCTGGGTAAAGTAATCTTGGTTGTAGGTTCTTGGCATTCATCACTTTGAATATTTCTTGCCACTCCCTTCTGGCCTGCATGGTTTCTGTTGAGAAATCAGCTGACAGTCGTATGGGTACTCCCTTGTAGGTAACTGACTTTCTTTTTCTTGCTGCTTTTAAGATTCTCTCTTTGTCTTTTGCTCTTGGCATTTTAATTATGATGTGTCTTGGTGTGGTCCTCTTTGGATTCCTTTTGTTTGGGGTTCTCCGTGCTTCCTGGAGTTGTAAGTCTATTTCTTTCACCAGGTAGGGGAAGTTTTCTGTCATTATTTCTTCAAATAGGTTTTCAATATCTTGGTCTCTCTCATCTTCTGGCACCCCTATAATTCTGATGTTGGTACGCTTGAAGCTGTCCCAGAGGTTCCTTACACTTTCTTCGTATTTTTGGATTCTTTTTTCATTTTGCTTTTCCGGTTGGGTGTTTTTTGTTTCTTCGCATTTCAAATCTTTGACTTGATTCTTACGCTCCTCTGGTCTGCTGTTGGGAGTCTGTATAGTATTCTTTATTCCAGTCAGTGTATGCTTAATTTCTAGTTGGTTCTTTATCATAACATCGAGGGTCTCATTAGATTTCTTGTAGATCTCATTAAGTTTATCGGCAGCTTCTAGACAGTTCTTGAGAGACCTTAAAAGTGTGGTTCTGAACTTTATATCTTCCATTGACAATTTTGTCCTGTTTCTTTGTCTCCGCATTTTTTTTATGCTTTCTTGGTGCACCCTCTAGGGGTCTTTGTGAGCATTCTTGTTGTAGTTAAGCCTTGATTGTTGTAGTTAATACTGGGGGGATTTGACCTCCAGGCCAACTGGCTGTGAGAGTCAGCTGTGTCTGCAGTGGGAAAACTTCTGCCCTCTGGGGAGGTGCTAATCTAGCCTTTGCCTGAGGCTATCCAGCAAATGCCTGTGTGCAGGGCTTGGGCGGGGCGGGTCGCAAGGGATCAACAGGGCAGGGGGAGGGAGCAGTTATGGCTGCTCTCAGTCCTGTCCCCAGAGGCTCTGTCTCTCAGAGTCCCAGCAACCGCTGCAAACATTGGAGAGAAAGCTGCCCTCGAGTTCCGACCGATGCCAGACAGTCCCACTTCTCCCGTATCAGTCTTGGTCCCTAGAGACTCACCCAGAACTGGAGCTCAGGGCCTGAGCCTCCCTCCTAATTGAAAACGACAACTGCGCCCTCAGCCACCAGCCCGCTCCGTGCGCACCTTCGCATCTTTGTATTTTCAGCACTGCGCCTCCTCTGAGTCTCGGTATGCTGTTCTCTTTCCTTCTAGTTGAAGAATTTCCCCTCAGCCAGCTTTCCTGTGGTTCTGGGTGATGTCCGTTCCATCTTTTAGTTGTATTTTTGAAGTGGTTGTGCGAGGTAGCATTCTCTGGTGTTTTCCTATGCCGCCATCTTGGTTCTCCCCCTTTGCACATTTTTTGATTGGATTGTTTATCTTCCTTTTGTTAAGATGTTTGAGTTCTCGGAGAACCAAGATGGCGGCATAGGTTAACGCCAGAGTTTGCTGCTTTGAACAACTACTTCAAAAGTGAAACTAAAAGACAGAACGGACATCACCAAGAACCACAGGAACGCTGGCTGAGTGGAAGTCCTACAACTAGGAGGAAAGAGAAACGCATACGGACACTCAGAGGAGGCGCAGTGCTGAAGTCAAATTCTGAGGTGCGGAGTGCGCGGAGCGGGCTGGCGGCGGAGGGCGCGGTTGGCGTTTTCAATCGGGAGGGAGTCGCAGACTCTGAGCTCCAGATACAGGCGAGTCTTTAGGGACCCAGACTCAAACGGGAGAAGCGGGACTGTCTGGCTTCGGTCAGAGCGAGTTCAGCTTTCTCTCCGAGCTTTGCAGCGGGTGCTGGGACTCAGAGAGGCGGAGCCCCTGGGGACAGGACTGAGAGCCGCCATAACTGCTCTCTCCGGCCCACCCTGTTGATCCTGTGCGACCTGCCCCACCCAAGCCCTGCACACAGGCATTTGCCGGATAGCCTCAGGCAAAGGCTAGATTAGCACCTCCCTAGAGGACAGAAGCTCTCTCACTGCTGACACAGCTGACTCTCATAGCCAATTGGCCTGGAGGTCAAACCCTCCCTGGTATTAGCTACAACGAGGTTTAACTATAAGACTGCGCACAAAGACCACTAGGGGGTGCACCAAGGAAGCATAACAAAATGCGGAGACAAAGAAACAGGACAAAATTGTCAATGGAAGATATAGAGTTCAGAACCACACTTTTAAGGTCTCTCAAGAACTGTTTAGAAGCCGCCGATAAACTTAATGAGATCTACAAGAAAACTAATGAGACCCTCGATGTTATATTGGGGAACCAACTAGAAATTAAGCATACACTGACTGAAATAAAGAATATTATACAGACTCCCGACAGCAGACCAGAGGAGCGCAAGAATCAAGTCAATGATTTGAAATGCGAGGAAGCAAAAAACACCCAACCGGAAAAGCAAAATGAAAAAAGAATCCAAAAATGCGAGGATAGTGTAAGGAGCCTCTGGGACAGCTTCAAGCGTACCAACATCAGAATTATAGGGGTGCCAGAAGATGAGAGAGAGCAAGATATTGGAAACCTATTTGAAGAAATAATGACAGAAAACTTCCCCCACCTGGTGAAAGAAATGGACTTACAACTCCAGGAAGCGCGGAGAACCCCAAACAAAAGGAATCCAAAGAGGACCACACCAAGACACATCATAATTAAAATGCCAAGAGCAAAAGATAAAGAGAGAATCTTAAAAGCAGCAAGAGAAAGACAGTCAGTTACCTACAAGGGAGTACCCATACGACTGTCAGCTGATTTCTCAATAGAAACTTTGCAGGCCAGAAGGGAGTGGCAAGAAATATTCAAAGTGATGAATGCCAAGAACCTACAACCAAGATTACTTTATCCAGCAAAGCTATCATTCAGAATTGAAGGTCAGATAAAGAGCTTCACAGATAAGGAAAAGCTAAAGGAGTTCATCACCACCAAACCAGTATTATATGAAATGCTGAAAGGTATCCTTTAAGAAGAGGAAGAGGAAGAAAAAGGTAAAGATACAAATTATGAACAACAAATATGCATCTATCAACAAGTGAATCTAAGAATCAAGTGAATAAATAATCTGATGAACAGAATGAACTGGTGATTATAATAGAATCAGGGACATAGAAAGGGAATGGACTGACTATTCTTGGGGGGGAAAGGGGTGTGGGAGATGCGGGAAGAGACTGGACAAAAATCGTGCACCTGTGGATGAGGACAGTGGGTGGGGAGTGAGGGCGGAGGGTGGGGTGGGAACCGGGAGGAGGCTAGTTATGGGGGGGAAAAAAGAGGAACAAATGTAATAATCTGAACAATAAAGATTTAATTAAAATTAAAAAAAAAAAGATGTTTGAGTTCTCTATACTAGTAAATGTTGGAGATTAGGCCTCTATCAGTGATAACATTGGAAAATATGTTCTCCCATGCAGTGGGCTTTCTTGTTGTTTTGCTGATGGTTTCTTTTGCTGTGCAGAAGCTTTTTATTTTGATGTAGTCCCATTTGTTTATTTTCTCCTTAGTTTCCTTTGCCCTAGGAGCTGTATCGGTAAAGATATTGCTATAACATATGTCTGATATTTTGTTGTTTATGGATTCTTCTAAGATTTTTATGGTTTCCCATCTTATGTTTAAGTCCTTTATCCATTTTGAGTTTATTTTTGTGTATGGTGTAAGTTGGTGATATAGTTTCATTTTTTTTTGCATGTATCTGACCAATTTTCTCAGCACCAGTTATTGAAAAGACTATCTTGACTCCATTGTATGCTCTTGCCTCCTTTGTCAAATATTAATTGAACAAAATGGCTTGGGTTGATTTCTGGGTTCTCTGTTCTGTTCCATTGGCCTATATGTCTGTTTTTGTGCAATTACCAGGCAGTTTTGAGAACAGTGGCTTTGTAATATAGCTTGACATCTGGCATTGTGATTCCTCCAACTTTGTTCTTCTTTCTCAAGATTGCTGCGGCTATTCGGGGTCTTTTTTTATTCCCCAACAACTTTTTATAGTGATGCTAGAATTATCCAACAACATGGCATTGAATCATTCTCCCTCCTGTTAGCCAATTATTTCCCTTGGTTTCAAGGACCTGGAAAGCTGATGAATATTTTACTGAGATCTTCTCCTAGAGCACCCCCTAGGATTCAGGCCTTTAGAAAACA